ATCTATATGCACCGGTATCTGTTATTTTTTCCGGCATCCAAGAAAAATGTGTTTAAGTTTGCTATACCATTCCGTTGATTTGATGCGTAAATGCAATTTATAATTGTGAAATAATATAATTTTTTTAAAAATTATAAATAAGAAATAGTCACCATCTGTCCATTTGTAAAGGTTTGACGCCGGGTCACAAAGTAAACAATCTACCGTCGACAAAAAATTACGTACTAGACACAACCCGTTGATAAAGCAGTAGCCATCCTATGTGAGAAATAAACTTAGATTAAGGTAAATGGTTTGCTGTAATGAACACTAAACCTTTATCAATATTTCTGAAAAAACCCTCATTTTGAGAAAGTATAACAGTACTTCTTTTTCGGATTCTAATGTTGTGAAATAAATTCTGCAATATGCTAAGGTTGTTTTACTTTGATGTTTTACTCATTGTCTAATTAGCGAGTGTATCATTTCTTGTTTTATCATTGCAAGTACTAAATGGATGTACGTATACATATATGTATTTCCTTCAAATAAATGTCATTTCAAAGCATATTATCTATTTCTTCCAAATAAATTTCTTTTAATGCATATGTCTTAAATTTATGATATAATTTCTGAAAGATATTGCATCTTGTCCGCATTATATTTTTCTCTAACAGATTGATTGCTTTCAGTTATAAAATGTATAATTGTATTTTTAACTTTGTTAAAGATGATTACAGAATTTGTACGTAAGTATATCACAAGTCTTACAATAAATTGAGATCTATTTTATCCATTCCTGAAAAACGGATGTATTTTATTATTCAAGGGCCATAACTGGACCAAAATCCTTCAACCGGAAAATTCGTGTAATATGCACAAAAACTTGAGCTACCAATCAATCCAGTAAAATGTCATTGAATTTGCATAAGTAGAATAAAAGTAGAAGTTCGCGCAAACTTATATAAAATATATATTTAAAGGGCCATTACTCGGCCTAAAATCATTGAAGCAGAAATCCCGTGTAATATTCGCAAGAACTCGAGCTACAAATTAATGTTGTAAAGTTTCATTGAAATTGTCGTAAAATAATTGATGGACCATAACTCTGACAAAATCGTTGAACCAGGAAAGCCGATGGTATGCCAAACTAAACTTGGTACTGATCATTCCTGAACAGTTTGGATGGAATTGCACCAGTAGTTCATGAGAAATAGTTCGGACAAGATTCGTAGCTAGCAACACAATCTGAGCTGCAGACCAATCCTGTTAAGTTTCATTGAAAGTTCTTAAGTAGTATAAGATACGTAGTCCCGACAATTTTTAAAAGTAAACAAATAATTAAAGGGCCATAACTCTGACAAACATCATTAAACCGGAAAATGCCAATGACATGCACAACGAGACTTGGTACTCATGAATTCTGTAAAGTTTTGTAAAAATTGCACTGGTAGTTTTTAAGAAGTTATCCGGACAATTTTTATGACGGACGGACAGACAGGGGAAAGAGTGATCCTTTTATGCCGCCACTACTCTGTAGAGGCGACAAAAAATCGAAATATATCATAAAATACTCCTTGAAAAAGTGTTGATTAAGTTGAAAGTAATATAGTATGAGAATTATATTTTGTTCTAGAACATAATGATTTTATCTTAATAAAAACAAATAAATATATGTTATATACATATGTATATGAATCTCAAACGTTCATGGGTTGTTGCTATACTTGATACTTAATACTATCAAAATAATTATTTGCATTACAAGCCTTTAATTATAAACCAATTCACTTAAACAAATATTTTTTTACTAACCTTTAGATAAATGGTGATATTCTCTTGATTTGTACTTTGTGTCAAGCATGTAGTATCATAGACAAAGACAGTGTTGATTTCACCATAGGTAGCACCATCATTGCTGACGGAAATGTCATACGAGATAACAAAAGGATCATCATCGTTGATTCCTTCAGATCGCCTTTTTCTACTTTCAGGTGCACAACACTCGCCAGTGAAGATATCCTCATAGTAACCAGTATGAATAGACTGTTCCATCTTAACTCGAGTACCATTGAGATATACCTATATATATATAATAAAAAAGTTTAATTCTTTCATGGGGTCATACGATTAGTCTCGTGGGTAGTCTTTATTAGTTCATGGTGAACATTATTTTATTAAGTCTACATTTCGTTTATACAAACTTTATTTTAGTTCGATTGTGTAGGATGTTATAAGCTTATAGACATTTCGAAAAGTCTACATTTGTTAAAAGATACCCTACTGTATTACATCAATACAGTGTTTTCACATGACTTGAGAAAACACCGAGCTTTCAAACACTATATTCTTTTTAATTTGCTTTTAAAAGAAATTGCAAGCTATATAAGTATGAAGTGTTAAAAAACATAGATTAATAGATTTCAATATTATAATGTCATATGGGTTTCAGGAAATTGTATGAATCTCGATCTTAAACGAGAGTAGATATATTAACATGCCATCCTTTAATTTCAAATGTATATACTAGTATTCATAATAGCCGATTATATAATTAACCTCAAAAGTCATATTAAAATAAAGGCATTGAATAGAATGTAAAACAAACCCTATGTTTACTAATGTCACACATGAAACCATCAAACACGTTGTCAGATCTGATTTCGAAGCAAGTACAGTCATCCTCTTCTGTGATTTCACAGATTCCGTTTCCTTCTATACCATAAACTACAGGAGGTATTCTCATGTCATCACTACAGTCTGGTCCACGGAATGTTCCATGGCATTCACACACTCCTAAATCATAGATAAAACAACTAATATGAAAACATTGTACTTCAAAAAATAAATGTAAACTCTATCTTTAGGAATATAGTCGCCAAATTGTTTAAATTAAAAATATATATATACTTAATAAATAAATATTCACGATGCATCAATTAAATAATCTTACATCCAGTTTAAAACAAGAACAGAAAATGAAGTCTAACACAAAGGAAATAAATGATGAAATGATATACATGGAAATATCAATAAAACGTAAAAAACTAATGTATGTTTAAATCTAATAATTGTTTTTAATGTAACATTGAACATGCAATGAATAAAAACTGTCCGAAATGTTTCATGCTCAGCATAATTAACTAAACTTTTATGAAATATGATAGTGTAAGTAAAGTAATTGATATTAAGCTTTTCATGTAACTAATTTGAAATCTTTGAGGAAGAAAAAAATTTACCTGTCTCAAGGCATTCACCATTTCCACTACAATTGTTCATACAAATTTGCAAACGAAAGGTGTTAACCTTGTCTGTATTATTTGCAACAAATACAGGATTGAGGTTTAGAACAGTATCTGCGACATTGTTTACATTAGTGACATGTACATCTACCCAGTCCGTGTCGTTCCCATGCTGAAATGTATTAATACATCTCTTGTTTTGCATTGTTAGTAAATTAATGTACTTATGGTTTTGTATGTATCATAGTTAATTGTTCAGATGAATAACTTTCTAAAGAAAAAAGGCATTCATTATTTTATACATAATTCTGGTTTAGTTTTTCTGCAATGTAATAAAATGTTACTTCTGTAAATCATATATTAAATTAAAGAAAATACTGATGTAAACAACTCACAGTCAAATCATAAACACACTGTTCAACAATTATATTCGGGTCTTCTTCGGCAAGGTAGTCTGGAAACTCCATAACTGCTGGAGTATTATAAATGGAGATGTTACACAGTGCAAATGCTTCTTCTTCGGTGAAACTGTGTGTGCTCCGCTTGTAAATATTTACAGACAAAGATTAGAAGAATAATTGATATGTACATATGATGAAAACAGTTTAATATTTACTGTATAGTTTTGTTAGGAGATATATCATAAAAGGTGGTAACAACAAGAAAGTATAGCCTAAAGAACGCCCAAAATGGCAAAATTGTATATATTTCAGGTACTTTGTGATTGAGCCTGTTCATGGAAGGCAGTTGTAAATAAAGTTTACTTTCTAAGCATAGGACTTAGCAGATAGAAGAATACAATGTATTTAGAGTTTATAAAACGAACGACAATTTATCAAATTTGAATGATCATTTTTAGCTTTAGTAATTTACTTAAGTACTTACTCTTTCTCGGGATACAGACGCCCGGCTCCAATGTTTGTGCTGTACGGGAATTTGAGTTGCTCGCCTATTTCTACGATTAATCTTACATTTCCTCTTTGTTATAGAATTAGGTCTGATACAAGGCTGGTCTGCTATCCCGTTCGTTTGAGTGTTCCATGGTGTCAGTAAGATTGCATCATTTTTAAACAAGTTTTCTTCATCCGACAATCTGATGCATGAAAAAGATCAAAGTTCCCATATTTACGACGTAGATAAGAAAGAAGAGAAAAAACGGAATCCCCCAAGAACGCACAAAACGACAGAGTTAAAAATGTTGCAAGCTCAGTTGTTTGTATGTATAATTAGAGCTGCAAGTTTGGTTTTTTATTTGATTTGATTGTCATTTTTATACACAGATGCTAGCAATATATGAAGTTATTGTCGTTTCACTTCAAATATAGTTTTCGGCTGTATAACAAATTCGTTATAAAGATGTTAAACGGTTGTTTTTATAATATAAAACTCGTATAGCGGCTCGAATTTTGTAAGCTTACAACCGTTGATACCTGCCAATATAACCTTTAAATAATACTATATTTTTCATAAAGAGAATTTTGGGTCCTATCTTTTAAAAGAACGCACAGGCAGGTTTATTCGTAATATTCGTTAGAAAACTTGAAAACGCCGACGAAAAAGACTACTTCTACTTTCATTGACGGGATGCGCCAACTTTTTTCCGAGTATTTATAAAAAAAACCGGATTTGACTTAAGTTTTATCCTTGTGTTTTTTGACGAATTGGAAGATTTTATATTTTTAAATACCTTTTCCGTCTTCGAAAAAAGGTAAATATAGTCTTATAATGCTCTGTTATTTATTTTCAAATAATTCATCAGAACAATTGCAAAAATGCATTTCTAAGCTTTTCAAAAATTATAAAATAACTTTATTGTTAGGTAGGGGCATTGACTTCGAACCATTTGCCCCGTACCATTGCGAGTTAAAATCCGCAAATGACTTATTTGTTTAAGAAAGCTATCCATATACAATGTACATGCATGAAAAGCTGGTGGGATTACGTTCGTATAGAGGTGCGTCTATGGTCATTCTCTAAAAATCAATAAAGCTGGAAAGTCACATATGATATTTAAAAATGACTGTGTGAATAAAAACACCAAAATTAAAACATTAAGCAATAAAAAGAATTTTAGATAAGCAAATAACTTTGTTGATGACGTAAAACAATCAAGTTAACTTTTGCAAAATATAGATATATTAAAGCAACCATACGAAACATTCATTTGATATAAAACCTATTGCTTAAAAAGAGGAAAACAGAATCCTTAAGGAATGTCCCGAAACGGGAAAAATGAAAACAAAAAGGGAACAAATAAACGAAAAACCCATACCTTTCGAAAAAAGGCCCTAGTTTGTAAATCATCTTTCAAAAGTATCTGTTAATAAGACACCTATTTAAACACAAAATATTCAATATAAAATTAATAATTCTTTTTCTAAACGTTGCAACATCAACTGAACTGAGGACTTTTTTAAAAATAAATATTTTTACCTCCAACTATCTGCGAAGCGATAGCTCCAGTTATAGTCATTTGAAATGGTTTTGTTGTCTCTATGAAGAAGGTCGTTACTTCTGTCGCCATCAAATGTTCCACATAAGCCATCAACATTGCCGAAATCTTTAGCAGACATGTATATGTCAAAGTCCATTGTGTTACTCCATCCATGAAATGCTATGTGGATAATGGTACCTATTGGTGTTCTGACCTATATATTAATCGAAATGAACGTGAAAAGAAATGAAAGGACAAGGTTCACTAACAAAGCATTTTAGCCCTGTAATTTTATTAATTCAAAACCAATAAAAAATAATATCATACAAGTTTCTCAAAAATGACTTATTATCTATCTAATAAATCGCAAAATATTACAGTAAAAGGTATTTTCATGCCTAGAAAGTACATGTCATTTACACTCCATATTTGCTGCTGTACTTGCATAAAATTAGATATGAAGAGCCACAAGCGACACCTAGTCCTTTTCACAAAATGATACCATATATATAACAAAGCTACGACAGAAAATGGTGGTGTCGGGTTTGGCTCTTCATATAAAATATACCGTTGATCTAACATTGGCTGTTGCTATGGTAAATCGGGTCAGCTGATGATAATCATATTTTCTGGCTTGTGCCAATGCATTTTTGTAAACAACTTTAATCAAAAATATTCCTGACATGAAGACCTTAATAGAAATAAAATTACCTCCGATATTAACTGATTTATAGCAATTAATTGTATTATTTAAATCTTATCCGAAAATTTCCTGTCCGAAAATATGGTAGATCAGACAAAAATGACATTCAAGTGTGGAAAACATTGTTTCATATTTTAATGATACGTGAAATCGAAAGATATAATATACTTCATTTCTATCTATTCCTTCTGTCTAAAGAAAAGAAAGAATACAAATGCACACTAATTTTTTTTATTTGAATTAGAATTATTCACAATTCAAGGTTATGTTACTTAAACAATGTTTTCAAGATAAATATGGTTTTGTGAATTTAAAGATCCGAATGATGTTTACATAAAAAACTGATGTATGTGAAAAACTATCTTACTTTACTAGTAACGCCAATATTTGTGATCTAGGAGATAAGATAAAAATAAGAAAACTATTAAACGTTTCGATTTTAATCCGGCCGGAAAAATTCTAATTTTATGTCAAATAGAAGTAAAAAAGTATCTTGCAGACGTTGAAACATTTGATGCATCAGGAAAAGCACTTGATTATGTGAGTGTAGATACGAATTAAACTAAACTAAAAATATATCGAAACTCAGTCATCAAGATGAGTGTGTTTTATGTAAAAAAAAAATATGTTTACTAAACAGAGAATGTGGCTTTTTCAACTCCGGTGTATATATACATTTTACTTACACGTATTGTAAAATTAATACCTTATAACGATGGGAATGCATTTCGTCGATATCAATAAGGCCACCTTCATTACACTTTAAGTCAAATTTGAATATGGTGTTGTAACATTTATTAAAAATGAAAGTATCAGCTCCAACAGCTATTGCTATTCCACATGCACACACTGGTCCGCTATTTGATCCAGGGGAACAATACTGAGCTGACATTTGAACCTGAAACCATATTTATTCTATTATTTATCAAAGCTTAATTATCTCATACTGACTGTCTTACTAAGTATGTATATTTGTTCCCCTTTTCAATAAGTTTGACATTTTGTATTATAGTAATTGTTTTAGTATTGTCTTTTCAAAACATTATGATTGAAAGAAACAAAACGTTTCAAAAGTAGTGATCATAAGGTTACATGTGTTACTATCGTTAAATATGTGGGTTTTTTTTATCAGATATCGGTGTAATGAATCATTTCTTCTCTGTCGAAAATATATGACACATTGTTAAAGACATTATGTTATAAACTCCACTGCAAAAGTTTTCAACAAAAGACATTTGTCTGAATAAAGATTATATGCATTAAGCTATGTTTAATGTTATAACCTCTGTTTGGTATTTCATGTTCCTGTATAATGTATAATTTCCTTCCTTCTGAGCTGGATAATTCCTGAAAAATAGATAAGTGAAATCTTGGTTTTGTTTGTTAATATGTTCAGTTTGCGGTACATCAACACGTTATACGAGGGCTGTTCGAAAAGAATTGCTTATTGTCCTCTATCTCGCGATCCACGTGGGACACGATAAAAACCAATGCATACTTGTATAGGGTAATTCAAAACCTACACAACGGTGTAAATGTTCATGTTAGACTATTTGTAAGACATTCAATTTTCTATTTAAATACACGCAGTCATTGACCACTGGTTGGAAAAAGCGTCGACAAAAAAGATGAAATACGGGCTTACATCAAAGCTCGCTTAAAACTGGGTTGCTCTTTGAAGCAATTGATGACTGAACTCTCTACTGCTTTTGGGCCTTCTTGTGTGTCTTATGACACAGCTAGGCGATGGAAAAAGAAATTTTAGTCTGGTGAAAAGTGCATCAAAATTGCACCAAAATTAGGAAGGCCAAAATCTGCATCTCGTAACGAAATCTTTTCCAAAATAAAGGATATCATTGAAGGAGATGCCAGATTTACAGTTCGTGATATTGCGCGAAAGGTAGCCATATCACTATCAACGGTTCACTTCATTTTGATGAAGCATTTAAAAGTCAGAAAGATTTCTGCTAGATGGGTGCCACATCTGTTGACCAATGAGCAAAAGAGGCAACGGGTTAAGGTGGCCAACAAGCTGCTTTAAATGTTTCCAAAATATGACCAAAACAAAACAGTTTGCCAATGTCGTCACAGGTAATGAAACTTCCATTACTTTGAGCCCATCAGAAAAGTAACCAACAAAATCTAGCCCCATGTGATTTCTTTTTGATTCGAAATTTTCTTTACTGGGCGGAAATACAAGTCCGGACCGGCACTTGGATCTGCCATTCATCAGTACCTTATTACTGTGCCCAAATCAGCATACCGTAAAGCCTTCAAGAAGTGGATACATCGGCTGAAACTTTGAATTTCTAGTCACGGGGAGTACTTCGTGGGCATGAAATGAATATTTTTGAGCTAACTTGAAATTAGAAGTCTCCAGATAGAAATAAGTAATACATTTCAAACATCCCTCGTATGTTATTGCGTGCTGAAACAGGGACGACTTTGGTGTCGCAAACTTTAAAGCAACTCAAGTGTCAAACCAACTAGTATGGAAGGGTATAAACGCAAAAATTACATTTTGCTTTCTTACGTTACATCGTGCTTTCTAACTTGTACATCTTGCATTCTGACTTGTACATCTTGCATTTTGACTTTTACATGTTGCTTACTTACATGCACATAATGCTTTCTGCTATGTGCGTCTTGCTTAATTGTATGTTGATATCGTTATTTAACGATCAATTATTATTCATTTGTTGATCTGGTATATTAATTCAATAACTTAACCTGCAGCTGTTTGTATTTGGGTCTATTGACTCAGCTTAAATGACAAATGGCATAAGGTAGAATGACGCATAGCCGAAAGCCGAATACAGCAAGCATAATACAGCGCGACATCTGGTGTAATAATATGTGACACCCAAATTGTGCTAACAGGTGGCGCTACAGTTTTATTCCCGGTAAAGTCCGTATTGCGGTTCGGATTCAGTTTACCAAGTTACGTTCCTTTGTTATAAAATTTCCATTACCACTATGGAGCAAATAAGGTAAACATAATTATATACAAAACGATTTAACCAATTTTTGTATTTATTACTGAAACTGTGTGGGTCAAATTATAATTTCAGCTGACAATGACAAGTTGCACATTTCCAAATCAATGATTTTAGAATATTTCTTTTATCAACAAAATAATCATAAAATAGATAAGTTGTTCAAATTGCTTGGTTATGGAAGGTGATCGATATTCCGGATACTCGTATATTTTCGGTAATTTCCGTATGGTTTCATACATGTTTCCGAACTTGCGCCCTCTGTCGTAAAAAATGTAGCTTGCAACATGCCTTTTTGTATTGCACACAGTGCGTCCTTCCATGTATTATTCATACATGAATAATCGATAAACATATGTTATTTGTACACATTAAATGTAGACAGTTTACGATCATTATAATTAAACTGAACTGATTTTAGCATCAAACATATAACTTTAACGTAGACAAATTTGAAGATAGTCAAATAACGAACGATACATGCAATTTAAAGCAAAATGTGCAAGTCATACTGGAGGATGTGCAAGCCATAATGCATTGTGTGCATGTCATAATACAAAATGTAATAGTAAGAATCCAAGATGTACAAGTCAGAAAGCACAATGTAACGTAAAAAGGCAATATGTAATTTTTACGTTAATACCCTTCCATTACCTCGCCGATGCATATAACCTATTTCATCTTCTCTTACGACCACGCAGGGATACACCGCGGCTGCAATTCTTATGCCTGAACCAAATAAAAGCAACACCTCAATCAAAATAAACTCTTGCTTTTGTAAACTGTAAAAACACATACATTATAACACGATTGTGACGAAATTTTTAAATTCATTAAAATTATTCTAAAATATGCTAACTTTAAAAAGAGGAAAAATATACAATTGTCATGTTATCCATATGTATTTCAAATGTTGATACAAAGAAAGTTGACATTTTTATAACATATTTGATTAAAAAAATCAAGTGGATAGAGTTTTAAGCGAATTAGAATTAAAGAATATATGATCAATAATAACATTTATCTTCTGCTATATGTAGATATGGTTAAAAAGAATCTCACACTTACCAGCAACATCTATATATAATTATGTTGTGGATTATTGTCACATATGATACTAAATATTATCAACATTATAAGTTGTGGTATAAGTGACATTCCATTCACTGTAACCATTTAATTTCTTTTTTGTTTTAAATAGACATATATTCTTTAACAAACTTTTCTTACGGCGTATTGCTTAAAGAAACACAAGAAACATGAAACGAGGGAATTCAATAAGAACGTAGAATTCCTGGTTTAACTAATATATTAGAAGAAGGTTTAACCATTACTGTTCAATATAACATGTATAACTTTGAAATTTGGCCAACTTTTCCTTAAGGCAGTTTATGCCTTTGTAATGAAGGTCGTCCGTCTGGTTTCCCAACCTTAAGCTCACATCTTTCCTGCAACCTCACTACACGCAAGTGGGACTTCAAATTTCGGAACAAATAATAATCACTTCTGGCCAGGTCGATTGTGACGAATATGGCCGGTGGCTTAATCTCAAGAATAACCGCTTGCACAACTCTTGAAATATACACTGGGGCATTGTCAGCAGGGAACAGTGAGCTAGCTTTACCTTTCGTTTTTCATTAATAGCAAGCCTCAATTGTTTAATACTTTTGGCATATTATTCACTTGTAACTGAAATACAAGAAGGCTTGTAATCTATTTATATAATTTCTTTGTACGTCCAAATAAAACCGTGGTCATTACTGTGTCGGCTGATGGTTAGTAACGCAATGTCTTAGGTGAGGGTAAGCCAGTGCGCATCCATTGCATGGACTATTTTACTTTATTTCCTGTTACAAAACGAATATGAAAGTCTAATGGTACTTGTAGAAGCTCTTTACTTGATTCTACACTCTGATTTTGCATGTTCAGGTATCTGGGTACCAACCCGGCAGATGCTTTTGACATGCCAAACAAAATGTTCATGGATTAAAGTGTAAACAATTATAGTTAAAAATAACACATTGTGAACCAATTTCGGCAACTTTGATTGGACGATCATCTAGCAGTCTATCATCTCGTAGCTGATGAAATCAAGAGGGTCACCTAACCTGGGGTCACTATATTCTAAGGTATCTCGCCCACGTTTAATTTCTACTGACCACTTTGTTATTGTGGAATACTTTAGGCTACTTTTACTGTACACATCAAGAAAAAGGCATTGTTCTACCTTAGTTTTTATTTCCACATTAGTAATGAACCTAATAACTGCTCTACAGTCAATATTCTGACTTTCCGTTTTTGCAAATGAAACAAAAGGGTCGACCAAAACTGTACGTGTTGACAAAACGGCTATTATCGTTCAACTGACAAAGGTGTACACTGCATAAACATATAAAAGACCCAAACATTTTTTAGCTCGACTTTTTTTTTTTTTTGAAAAAAAAGTAGAGGTATTGTTATAGTCGCGGCGGCGTTGCCGTTGCCGTCCGCAAACTTGTACCTGGATCATAACTTTTTTATTTCGTGGTGTATTATCTTCATACTTGGCCACAACAACCCTTGGGACAAGACCTTTCAGTAGGCCACACTAACCTTGACCTTCATCCATAAATGACCTTGACCTTCAAGGTAAAATGTCCAAATTTTGCTTGTTCATGCTGTTATTGGCTGTAACTTTGTTATTTTTGAATGGATTGTCTTCAAACATGAACATAATAATCTTCAAGGATATCCCTTACAAATAACCAGACAGACCTTGACCTTCACTCATAAATGACCTTGACTTTGAGGGTCAAATTATTGAAATTTTCATTTTTTTGGCTATTATTGGCTGTAACTTTGTTATTTTTGAATGGATTGTCTTCAAACTTGAACATAATAATCTTCAAGAATAACCCTTAAAAATAACCAGACAGACCTTGACCTTCACTCATTAATGACCTTGACTTTGAAGTTCAAATTATTGCAATTATCATTGTTTTGGCTGTAACTTTGCTATTATTGAAGGGATCAACTTCATATTATAACAGAACATACTTAAGGACAAGACCTTGTTGTGACTTCACCACGTGACTTTACCACGTGACTCCACCACGTTACACCACCACATGACACCACCACGTGACTTCACGTGACACCACATGACACCACCACATGACTCCACCACGTGACTCCACCACGTGACTGGACTTCACCACGTTACTGGACTTCACCACGTGACTGGACTTCACCACCACGTGACCACGTGACTTCACCACGTGACTCCACCACGTGACTCCACCACGTGACTCCACCACGTGACTCCACCACGTGACTCCACCACGTGACTCTACCACGTGTATCTATTTATAGAATTTTCTATTTATAGAATTGCGTGTTTCTATTTATAGAATTGCATGTTTCTATTTATAGAATTTTCTATTTATAGAATTGCGTGTTTCTATTTATATATATAATTTAGTATATTTATATATACAAAATATATAGACAAAACTTATGTGACAAGACAGACCGATTAATTTTATAAAAAGGAAACGTTAAGATTTTGTTCAAACATTTCTTTGTTTGCTTTTAGAGAAAGTAAAAAGTCGAGCGTTGCCCCCGCCCGGCGGTGACTCTTGTTGAATTATATAGTTCTTCGAACTTAAAGCCTCCTCCCGTAAATTAAGTTAATACAGCCTTTCAAATATTTTGTAGAATATTATAAAAATACATGAATGTTATCTTACAATCCGTCTACTGTTCTCATATGTGGATCGGCGTGTGAGTAACATCTTTTGTTCCAATGTCTGTAATTGTCCGTTACTGTTACCTGAAATTACATCACAATGCATCAGTCTGAAAATAAATGTAAAAAAAATCAACATGTTCTTGTGTCTTTTATTGCAAAATAATTATATTAAGACAATAAGGACCTACTTTTAAAGAAATGTTGAAAGATTAATATGAAATTTCTACAGTTTTCTTTTTCTTCCTAACCATTCTATGGTCATTTTAATATTAAAAACGATGCCATTTCAAATTACGTTAAATACACTCACGTGAATGGCTCCTACAGTCTGAAAAATAACAAAATATACAAGAAAATATAGCAATCACCAATATGAAATATGTATATGTTTTTAGACAAAAAAAAACAGTAATAAATATTGTAATAAAAAAGTGACATAATAGCCTTTAAAAACATTATATAAAATTTTGTTAAGATTTATTTTAAAACAGAACCTTCTCTTTGCAATCATGAAATAAATTCAAGGACGGGAATAAACCATACCTCTGATCTGACTGATCTTCGTTTGTCATGACCAGTAGTGTCTGTTACATATACTTGTAAGTCGAATTTTGTTGCATCGTCATATGTGCTGTCAGCAGTTGTCAACATTATCCTATGTGTGGTACTTGTCCATGATTCCTCTTTTTTTAAACTCTGTACAAAAACGATATCTTTAAATAAATGCTAGAAAACGTTTGTGTCATATTTTATAGGATGTTACCTTAAGTACACGTTTGCGCAGGCGCGTACTTACAACAATATACATATCCACGAAATAGACCAGATACTGTGGGAAGAGCAATAACAAAATTCAAACGACCCCAAATTTACAAGTAAACTAGTCTTGATTAAACACAGCACAATAAATAAAAACTTACAGCTTCTTACAAAATCGAACTAATACAAATTCGGTATAAACTAAATAATCAATAATCATCCAACAAAAAAGTAGAATGACAATGCAAATGCTCAAAAATAAACATCAAATTGGCAAAGAATAAAAAAGAATTATGTTCTATACAATATGGGCTACATTGAACTCATACCTAGCTGAAAAACAATATAAGACTGACCTGGCGACTAATTCAATATTTACTTCTGACGGATAGTTGCCCATGTTTTTTGTATAATATTGTAATCTTACATTGTGGGCAATCGACCATTCACTATAATAACAAGTGTCTGATAACAGTGTTCAACGTTATGAATGCTTAGATTTTTATCAACAGGCATATCGTTTGTTTGGCATGTTGATCAATCTTAAAACCTCGTGCATTTTTACCACGGCATTAAGTTTTATCCAATATGTCATTTAACACCTATGTATTTTCAACGTATATATCAAAATATTTTAGTTAGCTTAGATTGTTAACACGTGACCTTAAATATACAATAATGTCTCAATGTTTAAATAGACATCGACAATTTTAATTTACAAAATTGTAAAAATCATTTGACACACATCTTAACAAAATGATCTATTACAATTTATGCTTTAAGATATTATAAAAAATGATTAAACTTTTATATGCATCGTTTGCATTGAATATACAATGCATTCGCCTGAAAATAATTGTCTTAATTAGATAATTGCAGTAATGTAATACAAAGATTATGGTATTATTGCAAACAATGACTTTAAATTAGGAACATTTTTAGGAAATCAGGTCAACTGTTTGGTTACAATACAATTGAATGTAACCATAAATGTAGTAAAAAGACTAATCTAGTTTTAGCCACAGAAACAGTTATCTCAAAGACCTCAAACCCCATACAAATTACCTTAATACAAATCACATTGTGGTTCATATATCAAGATTTGAAAAGAGAAAACAGCAGAAAAATCTTTTCTTTTCATTTTAACCCTGATCCCGGTAAATGTCAAAGGTCCATGAAAATGCATCACAAGTAAATACCCATGACCAAAAGAAGCCTCCGCATTCGGGAGCCAATCAGTTTTGTTCAATAATTGCAAATACATCATATAAAAATTAAGAGAAAATTGTTTTGAGGTCAGGTCATGAAATGCAAAACATGAATGCTTTCACCTTTAAAAAGAGGAAAAGTATAATAAAAGAATATTTCAATTTATGTATTCAGATGCTCCATCATGTTGAATACAGACTGGGACATACGATAATCGTATATCCCAGATACAGAAAATAATGATTTCATATTTAAGTCACATTGATCCCTGCATTGTGTTCAGCAGAGCAGTGTTTGTAAACACATTTTCCATTTTCCAAAGTTTTAACTGATACAATGACTATCTTTAACCTTAACTTTAAATATTTCAGTGTTCAGTTTTTTTAAGGAATTACAATTCATTTAAATAATCATTCTTTTGCTTGAACATAAATCCAAGCACTGCTGTCTAAAATTTAAAGTATTTGAGTGCTTTTACAATTCATCAAATACAACAGGTTGTTTTAATAGAATAGGTTGACAGATTATTTGTTACTACTGCATTATGTCCCTATTTTTTAATTCGTTGTGTAATTATTAACATTCTTAAAACAAGTACATGATAAAAGTTATTTTCAAAACAAACGATATATATGTTAATTTAACGATGATGTTCAGTAAGGCTGGTGCCTAGATTGTGTAGTGGATAGAAGCTTGCATTGGATACATTCTTTCATGATCAATATATACTGCATCATCTTTAAGGTAAAAACCAAATAAACATATTAAGTGATGTTAATGAATTTACGTCCATGTATCATATTTTGCAAATAAATTCATAGGCTACACATTTTATACAAAAGTATAAAGTGCAACAATTACATATTTTCAAAAGTATGCTTATTTTCTTTTGGGTTGGTTTAACACCGCACCTACACGGCGACTTTTCAGTGTTACTGATGGAGGAAGACCTAAGGTGCCAATTTGTACATTATTTCAGTCACAAATGGGCACCTGAGTAGAAGTTCCGTAAGCTAGGCGGACAGCTTTCTCACTTAATAGTTTGTTTAACACGAATCTGCAATGTAGAAAACCCTCATTTAAAACATGAAAACGAACCCATCTTCTTGTTCCATTAGACGGTTTTCTAGATATTTGAATAGATACATATAAAGACATTCGAAGCCGTATCGCGAGATTCAAAGTCAAGTATATTTGAATTGTCCATGATTAAAAACACTAAAATATGATAAACAAGATCATAAAGGAAAGGCGGCGTTCAATGAACGCAGCCCCCACCCGACCCAGCAACAAGAGCCAGTGGCAAGGAGCCCAGGAGGACCCCAAACAAAAACAGGAAAGTCATATTAAGTACAGCAAAATTCACACTTCTTCACAGATCACGGCTTTCATATATATACACGAAGATATTAATTTCCCGAAATACATACATGTATATTGACATGTTACCTTTATTTTTACAAAAGAATTTTCGACATCAGCGGTGTTTTGTACACGAAGTTTTCCTGCGCACATATAGGATACAGATGATTCGTCTTCAAAAGTCATTCGCTCTTCACAATTTGATTCTTCGTCATCAGTGTAATAGCAGCCTTTAGGAATTGTCTGCTCTATATCAACAGTAGCAAAACCGCTCTTACTCAGTGTGATGGACTCGTCTTTTATCTGCAAGTGAACACGGTCGTTTGTTTAACATTATTCTAAAAAGGTTTACAGTTAATCTATATTTCTCATGTCAGTATTTATAATCTATGGCAGACGTAAAATATTGCACTTACTTTTAATCCGGCAAAGAAGGCATCACTTAATGCTTCAGATGACTCATTTGCACCAGCCGTGATAACACCACATTGCACCTATAGACAAGAAGATGTATCTTAGTAAACGAAGGAGTTTTGTAACTGGTCTCGACACTAACTTTTTCAGCAGGTGGTATGCCGGACCACTGGATCCAAAATTCAGGTGGTCCTTTCTGAACACAGGTGTTTTTTTTTACTCATCTGTTTTTAAGGAAACTTCAGATTTAGAAGAACTACATTTAAAATTGGTGACAGAGACATATTTATTATTAGATTTATAACAACTGAAGAAAACATGTATTTTTTTCTATTTCAATCTTATCAGATAGTAAGTCATTGTAATCCTATTTAGTATTTATTATCTCATTGAAAAATACATGACAGTACTCATACTTCGGTTAAGTGACTTCTTCCGCAACTCAAGTTAGGGAATAGTGAAACCATTTGTGAATGACTTATTTCCTTACTGTTATTCAAATACTCATTGCTGTTTCCTGGTACATCTTATAAGAATAATAATTGCTTTTTATAGATTAACATTTTTAATTAAACTATTAAGTTATTATATTCTTGTCTTTGAAACAATGAAATATTAATGACAAACAGAAAAATTCCTACATTATAATTGAGCTTATCTTCCTCACAGATTTATTATACATGCTTGTTTGTTGAAATTTATTTATTTTTGACAAAGTATTTATAACCTTTTAAAGTACTTTAAATAAGAAAAAAATCTCTGATCGTTTAAAAAAGTAGCCAAAGATTACTAGATATTTAATTTTTCCTTTGCCTTTGTTTGCACCATTATTCATGTGTTGGTCCGATATCCCATAGTGATACAATGTTATAAATTCAATGCAGTACTAGAGACATTTGAATGAATTTTATACTTTAATTATTAAAATAATTTTCTTTTTACTTACACTGTTAGCGAGTTAATAAAAAGTTATGGATGTCTTTAAAGATCTTTTTGAACTAATGAGATGAATGAACATATACCTGTACATAGGAGAAATGGTTTTAAACAACAATTATAGAACACGCTTTTCGACCAAATAACCATTCTCCCAGATGAGCCCTGCACCATTTGGACAATTCAAGTGGTCTAACGGACCAGTTGCCTGTAAAATTAGGTGGTCCTTGCCAAAATCAGGTGGTCTCGGACCAATGGACCACCGCTAATGTCGAGGCCTGTGTAATGATACATAGTTCATTATATACGTATATATTTTGAAATATACGCAAATAATGAAGAGCCAATACTATCCACCGGATAGAGAAAAAAACCGTATTATGTAAGTGCCAAATGCGGTACCATATAAGGAAGTGCAGGGCTACTTTCTGATTGCTTCCCATCTTAGCTGTTCTTTATGTAGCGTGTGAGAACAGGAACCGATACTTCTAAGAGCGTGGTCTTTTTTGCAAATCCGTCGTTCAATAATTTTATTTCTTCTTTTTGTCTTAAAATGTCATGGTATATATAATAAAAGGATAATTATGTTGCAGTAGCTTTCTGAAGTGTGTATTTTGCTACTCGCAGCTTGAAAAAAATGATATCTCAAACCACCTTCGGTCTCGCATGACATACATTTTCCGATCATTTTCTGACCTTTTTAAGTTAATAGTCTCTGTAATAAAGTAAATATAAGGTATATATTGATATGAATTTAAATAATACATGACGATTGTATAAGTGTTTTAAAATAAAATCTTATCCGTTGAAAGTTGCATTCCAGATACCTCATATCCAGGTCCAAGATGTGACAGATAATCTTCTTTGAAAACAAGTTCGTCTTGATTTGAAGAAGGTCCCATCTGAACTTGGTAGGTTCCGTTTATATACCTTAGAAAAGAATACCATTTTTCATATAACATGTTTAAACATAACAAACAATTTAAATTCGTTCTTATTAAATTGTGACGGCAGGTTGTCGCACACTACAAACTAAACATTCGATTTATTGTTAAAGTAAATCTTTAAAGTCAGTCTTATTGTTCTTGCAAACTCATTTTTGTCGTGAATCTTGTAATTGATTGATAATTTAGTATTCAAAGTTATCTTTTGTGTATCAGTTTAGAATTATGAGAAAAACTTAGGGCGAATTTCATCATGCTGCATAAATATGATGTAACTTTATTTATTGCCTTTCATTCTAAGATAAATAAAATTAATAAAATACATTTACCATTTTGTACAATACGTAACTCCATCAATCATGTAAAATTCACATCGATATTGCAGAAACGGAGTGTATACGCTTTGTAATTTACCATTTACTTCATGTTGTTGAATTTTATGACCAATTTCAGGTTTGACCTTAACATTGTTATAATGCACTGAAACGAAACTTAAATATTTTATACAAAAACAATCAGTATCAGGCCCGTATAATTACAATACTCACTACCATTTTATGCTTTTGAGTGGATTATTGATTTATCAATAAAAATTGTATTCGATAATTTCACAGTGAAAAGTATCAAAATAGATTTTCAGATTTTCAAAGTAAGAAAGTATTGCTTTAATTCGTTCCCCACTTGGTGCCTCACGTTTATTTTTACTTTCTTCAATTCATTCAATTCAACGACCACAAAAGATTGTCTTTTGGTAAGATTTGTAAAAGTCTCTTTAGTACACTTCCTTTCGCATGCAAAACTGATCGGCAAGACATTTGTGTATATTAAAAATATAAGTTAATTACCTAGCGTTCGTGAGAGTGCCCTTCAAAAATTCCATGTTTCGTCTCTTTACTGTATACAAATCCATTTATAATTATTTATTGTTTGTCACAATCATCGAATAATTATTAGTTTTTAATAGGTGTAAAATTACCAAATCAAAACTATATCCCTTTCAATTAAACACATTAAAACTTCCCTTGCGCCAATAAACGATTTGAGTCCCGTCATGACAAAACCAACATAATGCGTTTGCGACCAGCATGGATCCAGGCCAGCCTGCGCTTCCGCGCAGTCTGATCAGGATCCATGCTGTTCGCCATCGGTTTCTCTATTTGTTATAGAGTTTGTAAGCGAACAGCATGGATCCTGATCAGACTGCGCGGATGCGTAGGCTGGTCTGGATCCATGCTGGTCGCAAACCCATTATGTTGGTTTTGTCATGACGCGGCTCATTTGTCAATAAACTTTTCGCCCAGTTTCACGGATAAAAAATAACTGTTTTACGGCATGGTGTACCCTTGAATCCTCCAGAATTGTTTTTTTTATTTACTCAAAGCAAAAGACCATTCATGATTATTTTAAAACGAACGATATCATCGCAATCTAAAGTTATTTTTACTTTTTTGAGTTCTAGTCTTATGTTTATTTATGAGAAAGTCGTCTGACATTGAGGCTACCAGTTGTGAAAAATATTTTAATATTCAAGTAAATATTGAAGAAATGTAATTAAACCTCGCATAACATTAACAGAAAATATATTTGTATTTGCTTGGCTAGAGTGCAATTTTCATTTAATCCTGAGAAGATGCTTTTCGCGAAAAATGCTAGTTAAGAGGCTCATTCGCTAAGATAGACTTTCATCTTACACAAAAGCAAACAAGTATCCTTAATGTATCCTTAAAACAAAAACATTCGATGCAATGATTTTAGCTTACAAGGTACAACCAGTTACCAAAAGCATACAATATTTTAAAACATGTTATTAAGAAGGCAAAACTGATATTCATAATAAATTTGAAATAAAACTATATTTTTTTGCAGTTCTCAGATGATTCGTCTAGTATTTACAGATGAACCGAACAAATTCTTAACATTATTTTTCTAAAATCTCTTTTATTCTTATCTTTAAAATGAAAGTAGTCTTACACTACCTAAATATAAATCAAAGGAACCGTATCCTTCAAAATAAGAAAAGTCAAATTGAAGCATCCCATTACACATTCTGGCGTAAATGTAAATTTCATTACAATCGATCGTCACAGAATCTTCATAAAAGTAACCAAATGCCCCACACAATGTCATTCTAACTGGTGTTTTACTAAATTTATCTGGCATAGGATCTACAAATAGAAATCAGAAATGAGTAAGAAGGAATTCATTTATTTATTTTTGTCAAAATATGTGTGCTACATGATAATTGAAGTACACAGAAATTGTTGTCTGTTCATTATTTTACTTTTTATGATACTGCACCTTTGTATTAATAACATTGGCTTTTATGTTAATTATATACACGCTTGATGATACATTATGGGGTTATTGCATGCTTTCTTCTAAACAGATATTTAGCTGTATTACAAATTTGATATGCTTATTGTTGACATGTCATATTGACGTGTATAAACGTCTTGTGGCCGGCCCGGCTTTTGAATGCACACTGTTTATATAGGATTTGTGTCTGAAATAATATACTAACCAGGCACATGAGCTCTTCGCAACATGACCTGGTTTGTTTTGTTGTTGTTTTTTTTTAAAGAAATGTCAGTTAATGCGTGCTTAAAGAATTTTTGTGACACTGTTGATCTAAAGTTTTCCTGGTAAAGAGAAACAGAGAAAGGATAGGAAAAATATAGAACATGCATAATGATTGTCATTTATTAATTTCTTATGTCTAAATCTTGAAATAACAGTATTGATATCATTTACTTTGCATCATTTTATCATATCAATTTAACAACGTTTATGATTTATGTACCTTGAAGTAAGTATACATGTTGATTATGTAGGCGTTCGCTAAAGACTTCGTCTCTTTCATCATAAGATGCAGGTACAAACTGTTTTCCATTGACAAAAGCATTCATCCAGCCAATTTTAACATCACCATATGAGAATTCAATAAATGTCTCATTCTCATTTTCAACTTGGTATACTGTCTCTGTATCGTCACAATCTGATGTAGATAGAAAAATGGTATCATTATCTTATGTCTTCTCAGATTTACATATAAGTTAATAAAGTTAAACATATCTATACCGTGATTATTTATCATTTGTATACCGACTTATAAGTATATACAAATGTCTTGAATGTTTGTTGTTAGTATGCAATACATATTAATTCGTCTGTTTAGTCAAGATATTTGTTGAATCAAATGAAAAAAAAAAAATCAAACACCATATCGTTTTGATTAAATAATACACGTATAAGCAATATTTTACATTCATTACATGATCAGTTTTAAATTGACAACTTAATATATAAAATAGATATAGCAACAAACACTTGAAAGTAGATGATTCAATATATTTTTTAATCTGATCTTAAATTCTTTATGATAACAAACTTAAATGCCAAGAGTAAAATACTACCGAAATACAAAATTAATATTCTTTACTTACTACTATTGCTGTATATGTGTTCTGAAAAATAAAATATTTGTTGTTATTACTATCATTGCATAAAATGTCTGCAAAATGTGCCAGTCCTACCTACCTATATATGTGCAGATAAGAAAATGAAAACGAAATGCTGTATGTGCGTACTGTACATCAGGGACCTAGAGAGTATATGTTTGTGTTTCTTTATCATCTGATAAGATTACATAAAAAGCTAATTTCGTTAAGAATTTCGTTAGGTTTAGTTCCGGTTGCTCATTTCCCGTCAGGAAAATATTCGTTTTATAAATTTGAACACTAAACCTATAATAAATATATTTAGTTTGGTGTTATAGTACATTCAAATCTAACTGTGTTTTATTGATAATTAATCTTAAAGATCATGTAACAATTTTTTTATGGTTTTAAATCATAAATATGATGCTCAAATTAAATTTTATCAATATTGTAGGTTCAAAAAAGCATTATTTATAAAGATATTACCGAATTTTAACATTTCACGCAAATAAAGGGAGGTAATTAATTTTTATTTTCTATAAAGTTTAAGTCAAATTTTACAATAAGAAATGAATGCACATATTTTAATGATTACATATAAGATGCACAAATATCTGCAGTACATATTTTACATATTCTTCGATGTTTAAAAAATGTTTTATTTTGCATAATTATGTACCTAAATATATATTTCATTTAGTGTGGTGTACCACATTGATCAAAACATACAGGATCTTTAAAAATAAAAAGCTTGCAATTTTGTACAGACGCGCAACATCAAGTATAATATTTTAACATATAGCTAGTCCCTACTACAACTTATACAGCGTAAACGTGTACAAAAAAAACTTTGACACTTGCTGTTGCAACCTATTAGATGTAATATAAATTACGCTTCTCGCGAGACCTTGTTTTCTGTAAATATTTTATCAGTATTTTATATTCTTACGTTTTCATATCTTTTCCACTTTTTGTATAATGAAAAGTAAAGCATATCGAGGCGATACTTACCTCTTGTAATATAAATATTTTCAATTTTCCTTATCAGTTTTCAATCAGTATTAAACTTTTGCTTACCCAAACAAACACGTAAGTCCCAAATACTGAAAACATCGAAGGTTTGTTCGGGAAATCTATACAGTAGGTGACCATGACATTTTCTCATTTTAACTAAACCGTCTTCTTCGCAGATATTATTTTCATTCAAAACACAGAATGGTAATGTAATAATGTCGTCACTTATGGTCGATATGTCTGGATGTTTATCTGTTGAACAAAAATACAACAAAAATCATTTATATTACTTTTTTTCAATATCAAAAAAAAGAAAAAGGGAAAAAAATCTGACCAATGTTTTGAATGTTTCACACATTTAAACCACTTGAATTTTCAATGTAAGTTAAATGTTCCAACAAGAATTATAAAAATCTTACAACGGCTGCCTGTACAGATCGGAATATCTAGGTCGAGGATACCTATTTACGGCGGTAACGAGGCGTTTATATTCCCCTCTGTGGCAGCTATTTATTTAATAACAAAGTTGTCATATTTCGAAAACGTTTTTTAAAAGAAACAATAAAATTTATTATTTTCTTAAGCACTTATTCCAAATAGTTGCGCGTGAATTTACAAATTCATTCATAACTGCAAAATTACGCTACATTTAGAACGAAAATTATGCTTTAAAGGCGTACAAGTATGGTTGTTTTAAAGGATGTAAGACTCCGGTTCTGTTAGTAGATGATGATACTGTCTGAAATACAAGAAACTACCTGCAAACAACGGCAAATGCACATTCGCAAAATTTAAGGAAAAAAAGTAGAAAAAACATTCATTCTTAGATACGAGTTCCAAATATCTTTTATAGCTACTTATATCTCTCAATTCATACTCAAGCTATCACGCAGGCAACAAAATAACACCTGGCCATTGGTTAAACTGACTGACTGAAAGATCATGGTAAACATTCATGCTATAATAACAATAAGAGAGGAATGTAATATAATTGTCAAAATTTCATGCATAAACAAGGTATGTATATCGAATACATATGTGTATTTCTAAATGATGACAAACCTTTGAGAGCAATAAAATTTCCCCAATCACGTAGACACTCAGTTGTTACTTTTTCTTTTGAAGGTATTTGTA